GGACAATCGTGATGGTAAGGACAATCGTGATGGTAAGGACAATCGTGACGGTCGGGACAATCGTGGCAACCGTGAGCAGCGAGATGGAGCCAATGGAAACGAGGGGACGCAGAGTAGCGGAAACAAGAGAGGGACCATTACCCACAAGAAGAACAACGAACTGATCGAGCTCTACATACCCAACTTTTGGAGAAGCATAAAAAGTGTAAACGAAATAAAATCTGTCACCACGGGAAACTCAGACGATTTTTACTTCAAACTGTTAGTGCACCCAAGGGGAAACTCAAACGATGATAGCTACCTTTCTGTTTATTTAGAAGTGATCAAACAGGATTTCTATCCAGCTGAATGGGTGTTCCCGAATGTGCGTTTCCAACTAACGGTGCATAATTTCAAATCAAAAAAAAATTCCATTTCTTCATGGGCCTACTGGTCCTTTACCAACAACTCCCTATCGAGAGGATGGCAGAAAATGATAAACCATTCAAAAATAAATAAGACCTCTGGATTCTTGGATGACACAGGTGGGCTCTTAATAAAGGGAAAAGCCGAGAGGTCTTTCAAGGAACTGTGGTCCAAGTGCGTTCACCATACCCCCAGGTATATTTGGAGTTACATTCCGGAGAAAATTTACGAAAGTTTCGAGCATAATGATTTGCTATTTCAGTTTTTGTTTCAGAAGGCTTATTTCAAGAAATGCCAATACGTGGGTGAGAAGGGTGCTCGCCACGGTAGCGGAAGCAGCAGCGCTGGTAGCAGCGCTAGTGGTGGAAATGATAGTAGCGGAGGAAATGGCAAGGAGATCGACAACTGGGTTGGGACAACGAACAGCCGCGGGAAGGAAATGCTCGCGTATGCTAAGAACTACATGCTCAACAGATATGCCATTGACATTTACAACTTCTCCCTCTTCTGGAGCCCTCAGTTTGTAAAAAATTATTTGAACAGCTCGGAGAATTCAGAGAAATGGAAAAGGTCCTTTCATGAGAGCGTAAACAGGATTATTCGCACAGCTGAGGGGGAGAGGCAAATACGTTGTCATGGTGATGAGGATGGTGAAGATGGCCATGATGAAGCTGACCATGAGGGCGCACGGGAATCACAACACATTGAAGCGGACAGATTGAAAGAAGAAAATAAAAGCACCCTGAGCCTCATCAAGTCCGTGTACAGCAACATGCAGGTGTACGAAGGGCTCGTGGCGAAGAACAACCTGAATGAGCTGAAGAACATAACCACCGAACAGACAGAAGAAAACGACAAGGACAACAAAGAGGACCTCTCAACAGATAACAGGAAGTACATACTATCCCTAACCAACTACATCGTCCCCGTGGTGGAGTCCTATAACGACAATGATAATCTTTCCATCCTCGTAAATTGCCTGTACAACATAGAGCTGTTCAAAATTATGGTCCTAAAATACAAGGCAAGTCTATACAATCGTATTTTTTCCAAATATTTAAAAAATAGAAGAAGGGAAAAAAAATTTAAATTAAATTATGTGATGAAAATGTATAAAATTGAAAAAAATGACACCAAGAAGGAGATCATTGAAAAAATAAAACAATTTAATAGAGAGAAAAAAAGTTATCATATGAGTGAATCAGATTTGAGACATGTAATTTTGAGCAATTTGGAAATTATTAATGACAAGATACAGAATTTCCTGACCCTTATGGATGAAAAAATTTATTACCTTAATAACGTAACCAGTCGTGAGAAAAGTAATGCATATGAAGATGCACAAGGGGGGAAGGAGCCACACCACGTACATGATAATGAGCTTATTGATGTGGAAACCATTATCTACATACACCCACTACACGGGCCAAAGGAAGAGGAAAATCAGAACAAACCAAAGCAAATTTCTAATATGAATGTTTACATTAGTTATATCAATGGAAAAATTAGTTATGCGAACGATTGTATGTACAGCCAGGGGATGGACAAGTATAATATAAACTACCTTTGTAATATGAATAAAGTGAAAATGAGCATACAGAGCATTAACAGCAATATCGAGCAAGTCAATCTGAACATTGAGAAACTTTTGGAACTCGCCAATCAGGAGGATGTACCCTTTCCAGGGGACAGCGTAGGGGAAAGCGGAAGCGCTGGAGAAGGGGAAGGTGATCTATTAATTATGAAAGCTGCGAGGAGAGCGGTTGCCGTTATCCCTACTGCGGACCATACCAACCCACGACTGAATGGAGCTGTTGAGGAATTCATTAACACCTTTCATATTGATCCCAAAGAGTGCCTGAACAAGGATAGCCAAACGACAATTCATACCAAGGAAAAGGACGCGAAAGAAATGAATGACCCATCAGATAATGACTCGAATAAACGAGAACACTATCGTGTGAGAGACTATATGGACTTTTTAGAAAATGATTTTATTGACGACCCGAACGAACTGAAAAATTTGTCCTACCGATACACAAGCGATATGAAGTCCTTTAACATGTTTGAGTATTTTAGAAAAAACAACAAAAATGTAATCATTGCTCTTCAAAGAATTTTTATTTGCATGCAACTCTACTCTCTAATCCTGTGTGCGAAGAAGGGAAAGGAGGATTTTCAAAAAGATCATTTTAACAATTTTGATAGGCTTTTTTATAAAGAAAAAGGAAATTTGGACTTTACGGGTTCTACTGGTGATCTGTGTGAAACCAGTATAGCTAGCTCTGGTAGTGCTGGCAACTCCACCAACACCACGATGACGATGACCATGACGACCACTCCAAAGAGTAGGAAGAGAAAGCATCGTAGTAGCTGCGAGGAGGAGGAGGAGAAGAAGAATGAAGAATTATCCGAAGGAAAGAAGAAATTTTCGAGTAAAGAAAATTCTGAGGCCGATAACTCAGAGAAGAGTTCCAATTCCTTTTCGCCGTCCAACTCAATGGAGGTGAAGGATGCGAACTTGAATGAGAAAGACAGCCGAAGTGGTAGTGGCAGTGAGAGCAAGGCCGTAATGGACGCGCAGTTTCCCCACCAGATAGGCAGAAGCAGCGACAACCAGGATTACACAGGGGGAGAAAATCAAATGATATGCAAAGAAAAGAATGAAAATGCGCATATGAACAATTATAACAATTGTAGAAGTAGCAGCAATGATGAGTCGCAAGAGAAGGATGCCAAATATTTTTCCAACTTGGCTCTACACAAAAAGAATTGCCTATACTATTACAAAAATAGCCTCTTTTATAACACGCAGTACTCTGAGGATGAGTGTAATTTAACTCTCTCCGGGACGGACCACTCCAATAAGGACAAAACAAGTGGCAGCAAGAAAAGAATGAAAAACACCGTACTTAATGTGTACAACAAGAATGATAATTATTTGCATTTGTTTAAGCCCCTCATACCGAGTATAAAGATTTTACTCTTTAGTCTTAACAAGATCCTTTTTAATCAGTACAGATGTAATGAACCCATCACTCGGATCCATGAACAGCTGTTCAAACGCATCGTATGCGATGTCGTGAAAGACAAGGTGAAGCTGAATAGGAAGATTAAGAAACTCAGGAGACGCCTCGCCGAATGTCGCGATGGCGGTGTGGAGTCCGCTGACCAAGACAGAGTTGTTAGTGCCAATGGAGATGGTAGCCGCACCGACAGCAGTAGAAGGAGAAAACTAGAAAGAAGAGAAAATGATTTGGTGGAAGACTTGAAAGATCTGAGGATATTCGAAAAAATGTGTTACGAGTTGTTCAACTTGAAGAGCAAAACGGAGAGCGAAAATGAAAGCAGCGATAATAACAAGATGGAGGCCAGCGACTACAGTGAGAGATCCAATGTGCAGAGCGAGAATGAAGTATACCCCAAGTTTCAGAAGTACCCATCAAAGCAGGGGAACGAAATGGAGGAGGCAGAACAGGAAGGAAAACAAGAAACGAAACAAACGAATCAGCCAAAACAGACGAAGCAACAGAAGGAGGAACGAATTAGTAACCCTGCGATGGGGGAAAAAAAGCAAACAGGTACTGAAACGGGAACCACCAACAATAGTAAGGATAAAAAAGCGACTCAGAAAAATTACGACGCAGGGAAGAAAAAAAATGAAACGAATTATAAAGATGATAACGATTCGTATGACCAAAGCAATAATGGTAGCGACAATTTCGAGGACAACAAGGATGAAGACTTTTTCAACCAGGGGAAGAATAAAGACTCAGATAATTACGACAGCAAAGCTTCAAAAAATAAAAGCATCAATTCATTAATTTATAATATGATAAATAAAAAAAAAATAAACTTTTATAAAAATTATATCATTTGTGAGAAGGATATTTACAAGACGATTGAAAAATCATCCTTCACGGAAATTCCTTACGTCCTTTTCTTCTATATGAATTGCTTCAAAAATTTAAGGAGGGGGGAGCTCATCGACATACCTCTCTACTTGGACATATATGAAGATATCGAGGAAGAGACAGAGAGGAGGGGTCAGCACAATGGCAAAGGAGAAATGAATGGCCCCCACCACAATGGCAGCAGCGCAAGTGGCAGTGTTAGTGGAGGAAGTGCTAGTGGAAGTGCAAGTGGAAACAACCATTATAACAAGGAGGACAAAAGCAATTCTTTCTTTGGAATAAAAAAAAATGTACATGCCAAGAGAAAAAATGATGAGTACAATGAATATATAATTACATACCATCTGTACGCTTTGATCATTTCAGAAAACAAAGATGCTAGTAACAGCATGTGTGGCATCCCCAGTTATAACAAATTGAGCGACATGGAATTCAACGCAGGGAATGACATGAACAACACATCCTATTCCTACCTCATCCTGAGGCCCTACATTAAAGGACCATGGTTTAAAATTTACAAAAATAGGATAACGAAATTGAGACAGACGTATGAATTTAATGAGTGGAAGTGTCACAAGGATTTCTACTGTTCCTGTTGCATCTATGTTAGTGATAATTATTACGATTTGAACAACCAGCTTTGTTTGAAACAGCTAAACATTAAGAATATTAATTTCCCTTTGTACATTCACACCTTGCGGGAGTTCGACATTGAGGAAAAGGACATTTTCGAATTTAACAAAAGTGGCAAGGAGGACGACTTGTACGCTGAGCGCAATGTGGTCACAGGTGATGAGAAAATGGATGACCAGCTGATTTATGAGTTGCGCAAGGGGGCTTCTCCTGTTCCCCTGGCGGAGCAGGGGCATGTCGCAGGGCAACCTGCTGACAAAATTGCTGACAAGAATGCTGGCCAAAATGCTGGCCAAAATGCTGCCCAAAATGCTGGTGGAGTGGACGAGCAGGCGGAGAAGGCAGATTCCCCCGCCGATGGCGAACGTGATATGACAAAAGAGCAAGGTGCGACTCCACCGGAAAACACGCAACCCGCAAGTGAAGTGGCACCCCCCGGGACGAATCACACAGACAAAACGAATACAAATACAACCGAATTAAAAGAACAAATAGTTGCGCAAGAAGGATATTTTAAAAACCCAGAGGGTGGAACCCTGACTTATAGAAGGAACGCCGATATGATGAAAAAGCTTATGGGTCAGGCAAACCACCCCAGCGTGAGCACCAGTACAGAGGGACACACGTTTATAACAAACGAGAGAGACCTCATACTGAACTCGCTAGGGGTTCACCATAGGATGATGATAAATGTGAAGGATGAACTGTTCGACGATGTAATCAAAATTGAGGACAACGAACATGCTGCGTACAATTACACCATCAATGGGAAGGCCAAAGTGTGCATCGTCCTTAACAAGAACAGGAGCAGGTTGAAACAGTACAAGCACTTCTTCGACATCAAGGGTATAATGAAGAGGTACGAGAAGTTTGATGATAATCATAATTTAAATTTGTTTAGCAATAACGTATGTGAGATGAACTTTTCACATAATTTGTCCAGAGGGTTCGTCATCTCGAATGGCTTTTTCACTTCGGAGGGCGTATACTGGGCGAGCAACGAGTTGGCGCAGGAACAGAGAAGCCTGAGCGATGCGAGGGGCGAGCCAAACGCGCAGGGAGATCCCGTCAACGGAGCCGAAAGAGAAAGCAGCACCAAGAGCATTACGAGAAGCACGAAAATTAATGTGCTAAACGATATTCAAAAGTCTAAGGGGAAATGCCACATAAAAAAAGACTACCGAAATAGCCACCTTGTGAATTATCATATAAACAACGGAATGTTAAACGCAAACAACATCAGCTACATCAAATGCTTCATGCAATTACAAAATCTTTTTAAGAATATGAATTTGAATAATAACGATTTTGTCAACCATAACAGCATGAGGTTCAGGATAAACAGTCCCTTCAACGTAGAACTGAATAATATTTTTTTCAATTATTACAAAGAGAAAATTAACATGAATAATGTTAAAAGAAGCTACCTAGACAATGAAGAGAAATTAGAATTACACAGCTATTATTTGAAGACTTGTCTTAACATTTTTAAATCATTTTTTCATGAGTACTTATATATCAATCTTACTAATCGTGTGGAACTGAAAAAGAAAAGGAAAAATGTGTACAAGAATTTTTGTATAGCTTTGTCAGATATTTTTTTCAACAACTTAAGTTTCAATACCGATGATGATGATGAAAATTTTGAGCACTTACAAGGCGGAATTGCTGTGTATGAATTTTATGAAAGTCGATTTAAAAAATTAAAAATTATGTTGAAGAAAATTTTCATGTATTTGAATATCATATGTAGAGTTATTAAGTATATTCAGTTGAAGAAGATTCTTTTTAATGAAAATTTTGATTTGCACACTTGTAAAATGCACGATGTTTTTTTTTTCAATTATTTGTACTTTTTCTACAATAAATATTCCAAAAATTGCAGCAATAAGTATATAAAGAAGTTGTGTGTACGTTACGGTGTGAAGAAACGCGAAATAGTTACAAGTTTGCGTCGGAAGATCAACACGGCCAAGGATGAAGACTTTTACTTCCTCGACGTGTACCAACGCCTCTTTGAGGGCGGCGTGCGCGGCACCACGTTGGGCCCTCTGCCCAACAGTGACGAGGATTGTAGAGTAGGAGGGATGAAAATGGCGAACGCGGCCAGTTTTGCCAACGCTGAAAACCCTGATAGCGATGTGAACAAGGTGAACAGGCTAATGGCCTTCTGCAGATGTATGGCGGAGGATAACAAGAAGGACGCTTTCTTCGAACCCACCAAACACAAGGCCGACTGCGTCTTCCGCTACCTCACGTCCACACTCCACGAAGATGTCCTCCACCTGAAAAACAAAAACAAGGACTTTAACGAGAAAATGAGCTACACGAAGAGTGAAACGTCGAACAAGGAAGGAAAAATGATCAGCCTGACAAGCGGCGAAGGGGACAACCAAGACATAAACGAGTTTTTAAATACGGATCAACTAAAGGATGAGAAACATTTGGAATCATTCTTCCTCCAATTATTACAAAGGAAGAAAAAAACGTGCATTCTATGCTACTGCGTAAGGCGTTATTATTTGCGCTTTCTAAAGAGACTACAAAAGAATTTAGCCTTTGAGGTGCTCGACAAACAAATCAATTTCATCTTTGACAACAACTACCTCGAAATTATTAAATTATATAATAGGCAGAAAAGCAATTGTGGCGGCGGGGCTGGAAATAAGCATTGTGGTTACCATTGCAGTTATGACTGCAGCAGCAGGAGTCATGGAGGGCATCACAGCAGTCATCAAGGTGGACACCGCAACAGCAACAATTTCCATCCCAATTGCAAATGCTCTAGTATATTCAGCTACATAAACATCGACTCCATTGAAGCCTGCATCATCTACCTCCTTCAAACCATCTGGAAGTATTACATTTGCGACATTCTCTCCATCCCTAATGAATTAGAACAATTCTATGATAACCTGGCAAAAAAACACAAAAGGAAAAAGTACAAAAATTCCAAAGATGAAAAAAGCTGGAATTTTATCAAGTACCTTAAGGAGGAAAAAACAAATAATATGATAAACAAATATCTTTCTAATAATGAAGAAAATATGGAAGTGGTTTCCACCAATGAGGATAGCAGTGAAGAGAAACTTGTGCACAACAATTTGCTTCTCTCGAACTTCCAGTTCATTGACATGAGTGCAATTAAGAAGAACATCACTGTGCAGTCGGGTCTTGGCGCAGACCAGAAGGGACAGGTTAACGAGGTTAGCGCTAACAATGTGAGCGATGTCAACCATGTTAGTGGCAACACCCGGACAAGCAGCGATGAGCATTTGAGCAGCGACAACTACGAGAATAAGAACCAGAAGAGCCATTCCAAAAAGAACACCGAAGCACAGGGCGAAAAGAACAAGGCACACAAGAGTGAAAAAGTCGCTAGCGATTTCTACACCATCGATTTGAATATCCTAAGTGAAGATGAACTCAGCGCATACACACAATTCCCCAATGGAACACTGACCCTTTTGAAGGTGCTACAGGGGAATCTAGACAATAGGGAGTTGAAGAAATTGCTGAAGCAGTTCAATTTGAGGGGAATTAAAGTGAAGAGCGGCACTAGGGAACAAGGCAGGAGCATTATCGTGACGAATGAGGTGGGTCCAGTTGGCGCCTCCTGCACAGATGGTGCCCTCGGGGAAGATGAAACGGAAATAGAAAACAAGGAAGGAAAGCAAGAGGAGAGGAAAGATGAACAAGGGGAGCTGCCTATCCTGCGAGAAGGGGAAACACGTGCCGAGATGGACGATCAGACCAAAGGGAGAAAAAGCAAAGCAGAGGAAGATAAGGGAGAGAAAGACAAGGCCAAGGCAGTAGTTAAATGCACCAAGGGAAAAGGAAGCAAAGAAGTAGCCTTACCACCTAACGCTCTGGAGAGTAACCTGGAGCAGGTCCTCACAGGAAGCAGCAACGTAGATGAAAATTTCATTTCCAATTTTTACGTAAACCTTAAGTTGTTGAAGGATAAATTGGATAATAATTACTCCGACAAAAATAGCAGTGGAAAGGATAATGACACTATTGAAGAAAATGCTTTGACGAGCGCAATACACAAAGTCAGTGAAACGATGAAAAAATATAATATAAATAATATTAACGAGATTAAAAGTGTATTGGTGAAAAATGGATACGACATACGCAAGTGCTACAACGGAATTGATTTGATTTTCCTGTTCCTCTCAAAAATTAAAGGAGTCAATGTGAGCTTTTTAAATGGAAACAATTTTATTAATAACAAAAATGTGTATGAAATTTTGCTGCAAAATTTTAAGACGATAGATTATGAGAATGTAGAAAAGGATTTTTACTCTCTCGATTATATTCTTTCCACTTTTGAATACATAGATGAGATGTATATATATCAGAGGTACAGATCCTTTTTTCATTTTACGGACCTTCTATTCACAGTACAAAACGTGGTAGATGATAACTCAGACATAACGCAGGATTTGTTTACCCCTTTCTTTGATGTTCTTAACAATTTATTTTGTTATGGTATTGGTTTGGTGGATAATTTTAATGAAAATTGTAAAGAGGTTATTAAAATTAACAGTTTAGAATATTTCTTAGAGCATTTACACAAGTGTATTGGATCCCTTTATATCATCGACAAGAATTTTGAGTGTAGAAAGGAGATGTTTGGTTTCATTCAGTACAATAGCTTTTTTTGGCATGTCCTGTACAAGCAATACAATTTCTTTTTAACTTATTATGATATGAAGAATCACTGCAATATTTTCAATGCCTTTTTGTTTCATTTTCTTAATTACACCTTTGAATTTCCACTGGACAATTTTTTCAAAATTGATAATCAACTAAGTGAAGAGAACAAGGATGTGGTTGCTCGTGTTTTTGAACAATTTCCCTTTTTGAAACCAGAGGAGAGATTCCTGTTTTGTCTCATTTTCAGATTTCTGCTGCAGGACAAGAACCATTTCTACACCTACTACTACAGTACCGAGTTATCTCTTTTTATCTTCAACGCTATAATGTCTTTGAATAACTTCAGCCGCAACCTGGAACAGCCTTATATGTTCTCCCGAGGGTTCACACCCCTGAACGGGTTAGAGGCAGACCAGCCACCCCTCTCAATGAACAAAACAGACCAAGTGACCAAGAGGAAGAAGAAACATTTTCAAAATTTCCATCTGAACAAGGAAAATTTAATCCCGTTCATTCAGAGAAAGGAGAAGGAACTGCTCAACCTGGGGTCTATAATAAATATGGAGGTAACGAACAAAGCCATTTACTTTAACAACACTATTAATATGTTAAATTTTATTTTCAAGGATTACAAAAAGAACAAATTCGTGAACTATGCAAACTCAGATGTGAATAACAGTTTGTTTTACCTGGCTTACAATTACCCCATCATTAACATCAACCCGAAGCAGCAAGACCTTCTGACCCTATACCTGAGAAGCATATACATGCACAATGAGAACTTCAGAAACATTAACAACTTGGTTTATATTTACAGCAACTCCTTTTACAATTTTCATAATTTATTTTTGTTTCTGAACAAGAAGAATGACCTTTTCCTTTCTCTGTTCAAACTGCGGTTCCAGGGAAAACGATCCCCACAGATGCGCAACTTTTTCTACGACGCGAGGGAGGAGATGGCAAGATGCGCGGCTGGCCGGGTAGAAAACCACGTTGACAATCTAACTGACCGCTCTACTACCCCACGTGCGTTTGGTAATTATGACGTGGCCATACACAACTGTGTGAGTGAAGTGTTCTACCTGTACGACGGCATCGTTTACGACTTGAACGAGACGGAGAATATAGACTACTACTTCGAAGGAAGAGAAGCTTACTTGAATTTTGTGCGTAACAGAAATATGGAATACTACGAAGAGAGTGAAAACCTGTTGTATGAAGAGAAGGCAAAGGAGCGTAACGAAACGAATGAAGATTTGGAGAGACGAATTGAAGAGGTGCTGCGAAGAGAACTGGTCGCCACAGGGAATAGACCGAACGAAACGAACAGCGACGTGATCAACATCACTAAGGACAACTCCAATGTCTTGAAGAACAAAAATACAAACAAGAGGAAAAAAAATGAAAAAAATGAAAATTTCCTTCACGAACCAGAGTTAGAAAGAGATATAATGAATATAAGGTTCACGAAAAAAGAATTCCTTGGAAAAAATATACCATCCTTTTTCTATTTTAGATCACTCATGTACAATCACAAAACTGTTGTCAATAGTAAGTCTGATGCCGTACATGCAAATTCTTCCTCCGCAAATACAACAAAGAAATTTTTCTACATCTCGCTCCTGTTCAACATTGACTTTTACAACATCCGAGGAATGCACATTGAAAATAAATTGGTGTCGGATCGAACTTTACGCATTAATAAAATTCTCAAGGACAATAAGGGAAGGTTACTAAATGTAAAAGTCTTTCACCTGTACAATATTTTTTCCAAAATTATTGAACTACACTATGAGGGAAAGAACAACACGAGCAGAAGCGGAAACAACAGAACCAGCAACAACAATAGCAGTAGCAGCAACATGATTAACAACAATAGTGGTAGCAACAAAAACAACCTGAACATGAACAATGCAGAGGATAAATTCATTAATGGACTGGATTATAAAACGGATGAAGATTTTTACTACAAGGTGAAAATGAATCCCTCATACTTCTTCCTCTTGTATGCTATTAAAAACGATTACGATAAGAAGAACAAGAACAAGCTCATTTTTATGAACGTGAATTCTGATGTAGAGAGCTATGTGGAGGACAAGAAGGATAGTACATACAAGTTCGACCTGAACATCCTGCTCATCCCTATTTCCTCTCACATTGTGCTGAGCAAGTACAATGGCAATATCAACCTTTTCAACGACAACGATTACCCGCTCATCACGTTTAAGTTTCTCACCTCCACGTATGACTTGGTCTGCATAGGTAGGATACGCGATGCCAGTCGTCCACGCTGTCGGGCATTACCACGCTGCATCACTACCACGCGTTTCGCGCGCGTCTTTTCCGTTGCGCCTGTCGTTGTGTACACCGTTGACCCACCCCCCCTCATTTCCCTTTCCCTCCCTCCCATCGCAGGCATGATAATCTGCTACTCGAAGCTGCTCCTTCAGGACTACATCCTAAACTGGTTTATCCCCAAAATCAAGGAGCGAAAATTAGTTAAAGAAGATTTGGAAATAAAATTGGAGGAAATAAATGTGTATGAAGAATCAGAACTCTACTGTCTGGAAAAAATTCGAAAGTTCTCATGCAGCATTAAGAAGCTTCTGAAAAAATACAACAACACTATCGTGATCCAGTTGAAGAGAAATCACAACATGAATAACTTACATATAAAATGCATAGAAAATTCAAAGCTGAACAAAACGAACTTCTGCTCCACCTGCAAAAGCAATTATGTTTGTTTGTGCCAAAAGATTAAAAAAGAAGAGTTGAGGGAAAAAATGAATTACATTAAGGGCCAAGAGAAGATGATGAAGGCGATTAGAAGCAATTGCGAAATTAACCCTGAAGATGTCATTGGGGATGACATGAGTAGGAAGCGAAGTCAAACTTCCCAAGCACGCAGTGCTGACAACGCAGGGAAGGCGGGGTCAGTCACTGGTACTGTAACGACGACCATGTCGAATGAGTTTCCATGGGATGACAATTTCATGAAGGCGGTGTATCAAAATGAAGAACTGATGGACGAAATGAACGTGTTGGAAAATTCATATCGCTCAACTAACAGCTCAGTCCTCTCCGTGTCCAGTGATAATATTTCGAACTTCTCTGGAGACGACAATTGTATATTGGACGAAATGGAAAACACGACCATTATATTTAATAACGCCCTGTATGAAGATGAGGACCTTTTGCGAAATGAAAAAAAAACACAAGAAAAAAGTGCCACAGGTGGAGGAGATCACTCATATGTAAATCCCATTGATGGTAACAACAGGGGAAAAAGAGATATGACAACGTGCAATTTTGGATGCGGAAGTGTTGCATGTGGTGGTGTTGGGTGTGGCGGTGTGTGTAGTGGTGCGTGTGGTACTGGGTACAACGCTCTGTGTAGCGGTGTTTGTGGAGGCACTTGTGTTGGTACATGTGGACCCACATGCAGCTGCGCATGTCCCACCACCCCAGGCGATAACGCCATCGAACGAAACCTTAGAAAGAACAATGTAAAAAATGACATTGAGGAAATACTTCTACTAGAGTTCGAGAAATTAAGCACAGAACATGTGAAAAACGTGTACACAATACAAAAGAGGTTCGAAAAATATACAGAAGGTCTCTACAACAAAATGATGAATGAGCTGGCAAAGAAAAGAGAAGCCAGTAAAAAAGTGAAAGGGGAAGAAGATCACCACAACAAAGAATTATCCAAAGGGTATGTACGAAGCATTACTAACACGGTGAGCGAAAGCAAGGAACAAGGTAAAATATTAGAGAGTCAGGCGGAGAAAATGTTGGAGGAAGAAAATGTTGTGCTTACTCAGGGTCAGCAGGACAAACCGGCACACACATCCAAACTTGACACGAACGACTTGAAGAAGACATATTCGGAGGCGGTACCAAAGAAGGGAGAACAGAGTAAAGCCCAGGAGGACGCTGCTTCTGTACAACCCCCTAGTAACAATAAACGAGGTACTAAGAACAGCAAGGCGGAAAAAGGCACGCACCAGGATAAAGACAAAGGTGTTGTGAGTAATAGCAACGCGGCGGTTAAGAACAAACGGGTCGTGGAAGACAATACTGGTGCAAATGGCCTCGGTCAGGTGGACAGTTTGACCCCCAAGAAGGAGAAGGCGCAACAGGAAGCAGAGCTGAAGAAGGAAAGGGATAACAAAGGGGGAGCAGCTCAGCTGAAGGCTAGTCCGACTGATGAAGAGGGCGCGAAAAAAGTGGAAGCCATTGGTAAGAAGAGAAACGGTGAAGTCAAAAGTGATGACGTGAAAGTAGGTGAGAAAAAGGGTGCAAAGAAGAAAGCGGACAAGGGAATCAACGCCAAGGATGAAGGTGCCACCGTAGAAAGTGATGTGGACGAGGAGATGGACAAACCCAGCCAGAAGAGTAAAAGTGCAAGCGCAAAGAAGAATCAGCAGGGAAAGGAAAAGAAGCAGAAAGGAGGCAGTAGCCCAGCTGAAGATGAGGAAAAGGGAAAAGGCGGCGAAAAAAGGAAGGCAAATAAGGAGGGAGAAATGAAGAAGCCTGAATCGAAGAAAGGGGGAGAAGCCAAAAAGTTGGAAGGGAAAGTGGACGCGACAGTGGAGGTGAAAGCAGATGTGAACGCAGAAGTGGGCGCCAAAACGGTTCAAGACGCCTCGGGAGAAGCCCAAGAGCAGAATGTAGAAGACCCCATCAACAACTACTTCTGCAAAAACATCTCGGAGCAGATTGAAAAAATGGATAAAGTGGACACCGTCGCAGCGTACCTTTACAACGAAATGGTAGAAATAACGAAAAAGAAACTAAAGAAAAACGTAATACGGCTGGACCACCTGTCGGCAGAAGGATATCTGAGCATAGGAGAAGAATTCCTTAGCGCCATGAATGAGTTGATTGTCAAATTGAACATTAAATTTGGATCAGAGGAAGGTAGTACGATGAAACATATTTCAAGTGGCGCCACCAGCGTAATTACCTTGTCCAGTGGAATGAAGAAAAATAAAGGAGCAGGAGGAGCAATAATGAACATGGCAATAGGCGCAACACCAACGGAAAGACACACAGAAGACAACAGTGACGTTGGTGGAAAAGGGACTACCAAAGATGTGAACATACAAGAAGAACACAAGGATAGAAGAGAAAATAACCAGTACAATATATACGAAAATGAAAAAATTATAAAACTGTTAAGCATGTTGAAAAGAAAATTAATTTCAAAGATTCTTGTGCCAGATAGCCCAAGTGACAAAAACAAAGCAAGAAATAAAAAAGTTGTGAAAAAAAAAAAGCAAGTTGATATTAAATACATTTGTGAAATTTTCAGGAGGGAATATATTTTCCATGACAAACTTTTAATTTTGACTCAACACATATTGGATATTAACATTCGAACCAATATCTTCCTATTTGTGTACCTCCTTGCTGGCAATTATTTCTCTCTAATGGATTTGGACTTCCTGCTCAACAACATCACCTACTTGAATGATTATGTGTATTATAATAAGGTCAACGTGGAAGAGTCGCTTTTCCTAGGAGTCGATGGCTGCTCGTCCGGTAGCGCAACAGCGGTGGAAGCCGCAGGTAGCACGATCATTGAAATGAAGAAGACACAAAATCAGGACCAACAATCATTGAAGCAGGAAAAAATTACTACCGGTTCGCGAAGTACACAGGGCAATACCAAGAGTGAAGCAGCCATAGAAACAGTAACCAACAATAACCAAAGTGGAAAGAAAAAAAAGAAAAAAAAAAACACACGCAATGGCGTCATCATTGATGATGTTGAGGATGACGTGGATGATGAGATGGAAGAGGATGATGAAGAGGAAGAAAATGACTTGGATGAAGATGAAGAAGGGAAAAAAGTTAAAATAAAAATAAAAAATATACAAGATGAAGCACCAGAAGAGGATGTATTGATCAACATAAACATTAGCAAAATTATTTACGTTCTTATTCTCATTAGTAATAAGAAAATATTATCTTATCTGGTTGAGGACAAGGCCCCTAGACCACTTAGCCCTAATTACTTTCTCGAACTGAATAAGAAATACTACCAACTGGTGAACACGGAGTATTTGCAATTGATGAAGGAGAGCTTCGCAAAGGACTGGAGTGAGAATTTCGAGAGGGACGTGGCTTTCTTTGAAAGTCTCAATTTGGACGATCTGGTAAATTGCGCTATTACTTCATGTGATGTTAATATCGCTGCCTCAGGGGAGGTGTTCCAGGTATGGGGTAATGACAAGTTTGGCCACGACGCGGACGATGCGATTCATAGCAAAACGCAGAAACAGCACGCAGACAGGAAGAAGCATGATATGGGAGATAAGAAATACGATTTGGGACAAGGCAAAAGAGGAGACCTCTTAACAACCTTAACGGAGAGCGAGCTAGCCGTCATCAATGAAAACGATCCCATGCATGAAAAGGCCGTGCGCAAATACATCCACATGCACAACTTTATCAAATTTAAATTGAACTTTAACATTGCCTTGAGAAAAATTAATTACATAAAAGAAAAGGAGGAATCCATCTCTTCCTTCTATACCCTAGTATTTAAATACAATAGCGATTTGATAAGAGGTCTGCATAATCGGCTCTTCCCTCACCAGGTGACAAAGCCACGTTCACAACCACATCGAGCAAGCAACGTGGAATGTAAGGCAAAAGAGCAGTCACCCGCAACAGCTACCCTCCAGGTTAGCGTTAAGGATATTGCAAGGATGAAGGAAATATATGACAAATTCGTTTCAAGGAATGCCAAGCCAAATATTATAAAAGACCTCTACAGTAGGAACGTGGAAATTAACCAACTACTGATGAACACGTTCCTGGATAAGGGCAGTTGTTTGAATCAACCCCAGAGCGGCACCATGAAAGGTGTACCTAGTAGCACGAAAAAAGGACAACACCTCACCAAAACAGAGGCCCTGAACAGTACAAAGGAGGTTAAAATAAATCTTGCCAAGGGGGGAACCATTAGTAACGATTTGCAGAGTGAAATTCAAATGGGTGTAGGAAACATTGCATATGATAAGAGGGGAGCAGGTATAGGGGTAGGAACGATGATGAAGAATAACTACGCTTCATTGTATGACCAGTCGCCCTCCAACAAGAACAGCAGTACTTTGAAGATGTCGGGTGCACAGGGTCAGATCACCGACGGAGCTACACCCACTAGTAATGCAAACAAGGCAAAGAAAGCAACCGTGTTGGATGGAGGTAAAAACCTCCCCAGCAGTGCGAATGAAGTTGATTCTCCTGTGGAGGATGCGAAGGGTGGAAAGGCAGCACCCACATCTATTCCCACATCACCCACAGGTGTATTACCACCAAACGATGGTACAATGAATGCGGTTAGTGGTATGAATAGTAGCGTAAACGCAACTGCAAATGTGAATGTAAGTAGTTTGAATGTACAAAGTGGAACGGGTAGTAGCACGGCCCTACAGGGGAACAGTAGCACCATCGCCGCGAACACCAAGTTTGCTAAGAAGAGCAAGTTCAAAAGAATCTACAATAAAGATATTCCATACATTTGCAACGAAGGAAAAACTTGGATGGTCATTTATAAACCAGCATACTATCACTGCTCCGCATATACATCTCACAACAGGTACAACTTTCTGGTCAACATAAACAAGTACAGTGATTACTTTTATAACATATTAGAAAAGATATGTATAAAATGTAAAATGAAAACTAAATTTATGTGTACCTCATGTAAGGAAATGGAGAATATGTGTAACAAGTGTGAAAATATTGTTGCTAGATTTTGCAAGAAATGTCATTTATTAATAAAAAAGAATCGAGATGTTCTAAAAATTATTAATAGTATATCATTGAATGATGTTATATATAGTGGTCGGGTCGAGTCATTTCATCTTTACATGATGAAATCATTTCCTCATTTGGAGACTGTGAAAAAATGGCACAAGTTAGAATGTGGCTTGTGTCATCGTATTGATTTAGAAACATCAGGTAGTTTAATTATTGCTAAAACGAAAGATGCTAGAGATTTCCTCTTTGATCAATTTAGAAAAAGAAATGTATATAAAGAATATTTATTACTCTGCCATGGAAGGATTAAGAAGAAGAAGGGATGTATTAATAAATCTATACAAACGCATGAGTACAATAACTTTCATAGTAAGAGTCACTTCAGTTTAGTTGTGAAGACGGGTGGTACGGATGCATACACAGAATATAATTGCGTCAAAGTTTTTAGGCTTAAAAGAAAGATTGAAGATATTGTGCAGGAGATTTTGGCTGGAAAATACAACTGCAATAGTACCGTGAAGAAAGATATTAATAAGGAAATATATTGTAATGATTATTATAAATTTTTGGATGATGAGAAGAGGAACTTTGCAAGTATTATTCAGCGCTTCTTCGTTCAACAGATCAGACCCTCTGCCCAAGGGGACACAATGGATAACACCGACCTGATGGGAAATGCAAATGGTGCATATCCTTATGAGCACCCCATGTACGACGCACCCATACTGGACGCCAACGACAATGATTCATTCTTACAAAGGAACAGCTGCAGAGTCGTCCTGAACTACCACTCCGATTCGCAGCTCCAGGAACTCACAAAAGGGGAGCGAAAGAAGAAGGCAACAAAGAGGAAGATTAAGCAGAATGGAACAGGAAAAGAAGATTCTGCGCAGGGGTTACAAAACGACGAACAGGACGGAGAAGCAGCAGGGGCCACCTCGGAAGACGAACCAAACAACACTACTCTGTCCAAGCGGGAGGCACTATTGAAACGGCTGAACATGTCCAAGGCGAACAAAAACACTAATAGTTATAATAAATATGATAAGCGCTTTGGCTACCCAGCCATGAAAAGAAATGTGTGCCACCACCTCTGCTTCAGATGCAACTCCATCTCGGAAGAATATTTCCAGACGGATCCTAAAGAAGTAGAAAATTACACCAAAGAATTCACCCTCTGTAATGTGAAGATCCATACAGGTAGAACCCATCAAATACGGGTTCATATGAGACATATAGGACACCCATTAGTGGCAGACAAAAAGTACCTGAACCCATCCCTCAGCAATCTAGACAAATATTGGTGCTTCAGAATGTTCTTGCACTCCGTCATCCTCGAGTTCAACAACCCCGATTATTACTTCTACAACGTAAATGAAGATTTGAAAAAAAAGAAAAAAACCTACACAAGTGGTGGTGGTGGGACCAGTGGCGGAATCAACTCCTCCATGAGTAACGCAGTTTACAAAATCCCAGACAGAACCGTCAAGGCTATATGTCCCCTCGCCAGCGACTTACAGACCGTGTTGGACAACGAGCTCGAGGTTGCGGAGAGCTTGGAAGATGAAAATAGCTATGTCAATCGTATCCTCAAAATGAACATTAATGATAAACGAAATGAGGCTATGAAGAAGATTTCCATGCAGAGAACCACCACGGAGGAACCCACTAAAGTAGAAGGCGATCGCGGCTTGGAGTCGAAGGTGACACCTACGCATGGGGTTAGCGCCCCAACGGGCAAGTTGACCGACCAGACCACTACGAAGGTGAAAGGTGCAAAGGACATAGCGGAAGAACCATACCAAGAGGAAGAAGACCGAAATGAATTTGACGATTATGAGGAAGATGATGAGTTTGGTGACTTCGATGAGGATGAAGACGACGACGTTGAAGCGATCGCTGCGGAGGAAGAAAACGATGAGGAGGAGGAAGATGAGATGGAAGATGAAGATGACGAGGTGGAGGAGGAAGAGGATTATGAGCAGGAAGAAGATTACGAGCAGGAGGAGGACGACGATGCCATGTATGCTCGAAGAGACCACTCTGGAAGTGTACATGACAATACCTATGCTGAGCAAGGTGCGCAGGAAAATGCACAAGGGTCAGTCAACCGAGGAGGTGAGGAAAAGCCTTCGATGAAGAAGAAAGGACCCAAAAGAGGACAAAGTGAACCGCTCCTAGCACAGCTGCTACAGAAGGAGGAGGAAAAGGAAGACGAGCTTCCCCTTGGTGATGGCAAAAAGGCTTCCGCAAAGGCCAAGGTGCTTAAGGAGAAGAGAAAATCAAGCACAGCAGGAGGGGTGAGTGCAGACGACGAGTCATATTTTGGGTCAGACAAGGAATCGAATGAAGATGAAGAGGACGAAGATGAGGCTGAGGAGGAGGAAGAAGAGGATAATGAGGAAGAGGAGGAGGAACAAACAATCAGCGACGCATCACTACTCGGCACAAACAAAAAACCCATCTTCAAATTGCACCATAACGATATTTTCTACATGAAAAAGAACACACCAAAGGGAGAAACAAATGAAGGAGAAACAACACCACAGAGCAATGGTGGTGATATGCAGGCATTCACAATGACACAGGAACAGGAGAAGCTCAACAATGGCATTGGCCAAACATTAGACGAAGAAATTAACAGCAAGCTAAGAACAGATTTTATCTTCCTGCTCAACGAAGCGAAAATAATAATTGATAACATCATACGAAACAGTTTTATTTACAAAACATATTTTTACTTTTCCAAGCTGAGGAAAACTCTCTTTTATATTTTAGGTGCTTTTGGTAAAGATGCTTTGAAGAAGAAAAAGAATTACGTCGAAATAAATTTAACAGAAGAAATGTTTAAGGAGGTGGGAAAGCAAGTTGAGAGGAGAGTACCAGTGGAATTTTTGTACGAGCTGATTTTGTGTCTGTCCTATTTGTTTAAGAAAAATTTGCATGTGAAGAAAAGGAACGGCGACATCGTTGTGTATGCTCTGAAGCGTCACTTGAAGTTTCCCCAGTTGGGAAGTGGCGATACGACAAACGCAGCCCCATTAAAGAGCACCCCTGCGAAGAGCGCTTCTGCAAAAAACACCCATGCAAAGAGTTCCCACACGTATGACCAAGCCGAACGAACGAGAGAAACGAAAAGCATCGTCATGACCCACTTCCACAACATCCTGTACAACCTAAACTATGCATTGAAGCAAAAAGGAATCAACACGTGCCAAAAACTCAAGAGCCAAATTGTAGGTAGCACAAAAAGCGTTTATTTAAAAATCACATGCATTTTCACCATCATTATGAAGAAGCTGAACGCGCAGGTGTATCTCCGAGAAGATTTCCACACCATGAACTTTATAAAAAATAAAAATATGTTTCGCCTAAATAGCGTTGAGCAATTTTTCGTTTTATATAAATTTTACGAAGAGAAAAAGGAATTGACGGAATGTAGGCTAGGCAGCACCAGCAGCATTGGTAGCAACAGGAGGGGGAAGGTCGCCAATACGAAGGTGAGGAACAGGGCCGCGGAAAATGATCTCATGGAGAAAATCAAAAAGATATTCTTTAAGGTTCACAAGGAGAAGGGGCAGAAGGCAAACCAAATGGAGCTGCACGATGACGGTGTGTACTACCCACAGAGGGGCCAACTACCCGCTGGGCATATGGACGGCCATCACCACCAACTTAGCAGAAATGAACAGATCGGTCTGAAAAATCAAGGCATGGATAGGAGTAGCGACGGGGACAGCGACAGCTGCAACAGGAAAAGGAGCTTTGGAATTATTGAGGACCATGCGCATATGGACCTGGGCCCTGAACTCAGGAAGGAGCATTTCCTCGAGGGGCGCCAGGGGAACCACTTTATGGGTAACTTTGAACCCTTCGAAAACTTCGGTCCCTTTGACACCATGGCGCACATACAATCTCTTGAAGGAAAACCCAACATGCAGGGAGAGCAACATCATCTAGGCAGCTTTGCCAACATGCCACACATGGAGAGGCGCCGAAATGAGAACAATGAGCACTTGGCAAATTTGGAGTACATGTTGCGGATGGAAGGAGAGCGTGGTGCCAGATATGACGGTATGTCTCCCTTTGAAGAGGAAAACAAAATAGCTAACGAACTTTTAAAAAAGGGAAATTATAACAGATTGGTTAGTAGTAGTGGGCACCTCCCTTTGGAGCCACACACACAGCACGGACAGCCGACCCAACATAGCCCTCTTAATCAACACAATGCCTACCTGCTTAGTGCAGGGGATGCGATGAAGGGAAAATTCGAAGTGATGAAAAGTTTAGACGAAGAAGCCGCTCGGGAAGCACAGCAGATGATGCTCATGGGAAAGGAGAGTGGCATGAGTGTAGGGCTTCACCCCTCGTTGAACAAACACACTGGTGGTAGCAACAGCAACGGTAATATTAGTAACAACATGAATGGAAGCGGCCAGTATGAGCTTCCCCCGAACAGCCACCTACCAGGATTCTTTAGCAACATACCTCCGAGCGGTTTGGTAAACAAGGGTTACCCGCACCAGCGAGGAACCATCCCATTTGTGGAGGCAGCAGATGGGGACAAGAGTCAGAGGGAGAACAAAACGGCGTTCTTTAGCTTTGGTGAAAGTAGGCACATGTTTAACCATGGAGGTAGTAGCAATCATCAAGGATCTTATGTTGGAAGTGGAGGATACAGGAAGGGAGGTGTAGGATGTGTAGAAGGAATAGGAGGAGTTGGCCGGGATATGGTGATGAGTGGGGAGGAAGGGAAGTATGGGGTCAAGGGAAGCGGTACCGGGGTGTACGAAATGGAGCACGTGGATCGCATTGACCTTGATCGTGTAGAGGAGGACCCAGAGGAGGATGAAGAAAATGGCTACAACAACTTCATTAAGGAAATTGAAAGAATAAAAATGGAAACGAATAAATGTCAGGAGAATTACGAAAAAGAAATGATTGAAATAAAAAAGAAAAAAAAAGAAATTAAATACATAAAAGAAACAAAAAGAGATGAAGAAATAAATCAAAAATTCGCAGACGCTAATATTGCAAATTTTACTCTCCTTTTACTAAACGCATTTCAGCTATATGGATTAAGCATGGTAATAAAATTGCTGGTTTACGAAAATGATATGATTCTCCCTCAGTTCAAAGAAAATATAAAACAAGACGACACCACAACCAATATTGAATTCTTCATTAACATTTCCATTGACAAAATTTTTGAGTACCTCTTGTTGAAAAATATTTTGAGCAATGTAAATATAAAAAGGTTAAAGGAAAAGTTCATTCAAGGACAAAGTGCATTTGAGGCCATTCGAAATGACGCTAATAATCTGATCAAGGAAAATATAAAGGAACACAATTTTGTATACATTTTATATAAAGATAGATCTCGTATGTTTGATGTGTACGAAAGGAAAAAAACGATATACAATTTTTTGATCATCCTCATCGATAAAGTCCTGCAGAAATATCTGATCAATGAGTACGTTATGATTAGAAGAAATGAAATTTATGAAAAAATGCTCAGGATGCTTAATCGGAGCCGGGAGATTATGAACAATAAGGAGAGACAGCAACCCGCTGTACGCTTTGGTGACAATGTGGGAGGAAATGGGGGAACGCCTGATTATGCCTTCGTTGGTGCGGACCAGTTCCGGCTCGAAAAGGGACCAATCAGTATGGGGCGCGGTGTTGGCGGGGTAAGCGGCGTGAGCGGCGTAGATGGCGCTTTTAGTGGCTCCTTCAGCGGATCGTTTAGCGGCGGAATGGGCTTACACGACCCCGCAGCCCACAGGAGGGAATTCCACAACGGAGCAAGTGGAAACGCCAGCTACATGAACTTCAACCAGGAGAGGCGAGGAAACCTACACGAGCAGAAAATACTTAAGGAGGTTGGCCACTTCCTCAGTGGCATGGCCTACCCAGGTATGCATGATGACATGAAAGGACCACTGGTGCCGGGGGCCAACCCATACGCCAGCAACACCAGCAATGTGAGTAATACCACCAATTTGAACAAATTTCACGACCTGTACGGAAAGGTCAATTATAGCGGCGAGGCGGATAGTAGAAGCGGTATGGATGATCAAATGAACCTCGAAGGCAGAGTACCCGTGAACAATCTGGGAGGTGTCCCAGGAGGCGGAAGCAACAACAACAACAACCCTCCCGTTGAGAAAGCAAAGGTACTGAAAAACAGCTCCTACAATGACGCTAACGCGATGCAGGTGAAGAGCAAGTATGGCAACGGTCATCTTTATGGGGGCGGCAATTACAAGAGTAACTCATTCAGCACGAACAACCTGAACCTCATGCATCTCCCTACCAACCAGTTGGCGGCCCCGGGGAAGGGCACTGGGCACAGCGGCAGTCACGTAGGGGGTAATCACAGCGGCGGTCATGTAGGAAGTCACCCCCACATCAACTGCAGCTGCTGCCACCCGGAACCGCTCAACCATTTGGCCAAGGCACCATCAAACGAAAAAAATATGAAAGACATAAACCTCACAACTAGCTTGAACAGAGGAAACTACGACAGTGATCATTTTGACCACTTCTATACCGGAGGTAGTAACAACAGCAGAGTGTTCAATTCGTATCATGAAATGGAAAAGAAAATCACGCAAAAGAAAGGAGAAAATGAACACCCTCTCCTTGGCCCTCCCCCCAACTACACCAGCAGTATGAACAGTGTGAGCAGCCTAAGTAGTAGTGGTATGGGGAAGTCACACGCGCAAAGCAGCCAAGGAGGGAAGCCAACGAACATGTCCTTCTTGGAAGACTTCAAAGCGTCCATACAGCATTTTATAAATAACAAAAATGAAAAGGAGTTCGAAAAGGAGCAGGACAAAAAAAAAAAAAGAATCCTCGAACAGAAACACATGATGCGAATGAAGGATAGTAGCAATAATGAAGAAAATGAAAATATTAAAAAAATGAACGGCTTTTATGAAAATATTTTGAGCAATACGTTTGAACATAATGTTGGAAGTTCCTTGGGACGAGCGGAGGAACGGAACATTGAACCCCCTAACCTTGTGCCTGAAGCGGATCGCGAGGAGGACTTGGACAGTTACGACAGGAAGAAGCAGAAGGCTCGCGACAAGAAGAAGAAAAAAAAGGAGGGTAACGTCGTTGCTGGTGCAGGTGGAGGTAACCAGAGTGGAAAGGACCACACAGATGAACGTGCTGATGATGCCAGTTCCTTCCAGTTAGACGGCAACAACGCACTTAACACAAATGTGAATGCTTACCCACAAGGCTTTGGAAACCCCATCGCGGAGATCTTGTGCAAAAATAATATGAGTAGAGCAAATGAAGAAAAGGAAGAGCAGGTCGCCGTAAACGATTCCCCCGCTTATGACGCAGCTGCGTATGACGCCGCGAGCTACCACACAGAGGGCACAAATAGAAGTGGAAATCATGTGCCTCCCCCCCCGATGGAGGAAAATGTATACATGAACGAAAACCTTGAAATGAAATATCGAGCCCTATTTGCAAACGTAACTGAAAATTTTATTCACCACAACAACATGATGAGTAAAAACAGTAACGCCAAGATGCCCCAGGAGTACAAGGACATGCTTAACAACACAATACCGAGAGGGAATCAAATGGAAAATAAACGACTAGCTCAGGACTTTCGAATGAATAGCAATAATTCCGTCGCGAATTATATGAATGAACTTGTCACTCCCTCGTCGTCCTCCTACAATAACAACACTTTGAACCGCATGGAAAAGGGCGCACATGATATGGACCTACTGAATAGCTCCCCCAACGCTTTGTTATTCAAGAGGATGGGGAACTTCGGATCGATGAGTGGTGACCACCTTCCAGTCAGGGGCGAACTCCCCATGGGGCACTACCTGAGCGACAACAACCACGGGGCACAAAACATACCACCTAACATAAAGTACCAGAATGCACTGAAAAATAATTTTCCTTGCGGAGGAGGCGAGCCAACGAAGAGCATGAGCGAGTCTAACATTGTGAATATGCTTTCCGATATGAATAACAAGGACTTGTTTAAACCTATGAACATGAACAGCGGAGGCAGTGGCAGTCATATGGTGGGGGACGCCTTTTTCCCTGAAAGTAACAACCACGGGATGATGGTGGGCCTGCAGAATGGGGTCAGGAGGAACGTGCCAACCAAGTACAGCCTGCTGGGGGCGGAGGCAAGCGGCAAGGCCGTCGATCCGCGTAGCAGCAGCAATGTTAGCGGTGGAAATATTAGCGGCGGAAGTGTGAGAGGCCTCACGCACTTGCCCCCCTCGAACAGCTACAGCAACCTCTATGACGCCAAGGCGAACTCCGTGTTCTTGAGGAAGTATGGCCCCCCTAACTCCTTTTTCAACCTCGAGGAAGGGAAGGAAGAACCCAGCAACAGCAGCGGAAACATCCCCAGGAGCAAACCCAATATCATGCCGCCAAACGACCTGATGAGCAACACCAGTGGAACACACCTCCCCATGAACATGCACCCTGCAGAAGAGCAAAACAAGCACATGGTATATTTAAACAACGTGTACGACATAATTAACCCAAGCTGCGCCAGAAGCCCCAATTCCGATTTGCCAAATGGAAAGCCCACACACACATACGCAGAAGTGAAGAGCATGTTCAGAGAAGGAACATCCATGAACAGCGGTAATGTGAGCAGTAATGCAAGCGGTAACAACCTGGCCATGCAATTTAGCAACCCCCTGACCTCCACCTATTTCAACAAGACATATGCCAATGTGGAGCTCGCGAACAAATTTAAAGACTTTGACGAGAGGCAACAGAATTTGATTTTCAATTTGATGAAGCAAAAGGTAGACCAAGAAGGAATGAGCAGCAACACGGCCACAGCCCTTGGGGACCATAAGGACGGTAAGGGCGCAAATAATAATGCCCAGATTGGTAGCAGAGGAGGGGAGAGCTCTTCTGTGGTGGAGGAAGATATTAGAGATCGAAGGCACACCAGCGGAAAGGTGCACGTCTGTACGGGGAAAAAGCAAGCTAATGTGAAGAAGCACACGGATGAAGAAAAGCAAAGTGTTAGCAGTACCACTCATAACCACTCCACAAACTACCCAATTGCTCCTCAAAGTAATGGAAGCGGCAACGATATGAACTTTGACCTGAGTAGCTTGGCAATGTATATGAGTAGTGGGCAAATGAAGTCAAGTGGGCGTAAGGATGCGATGCCGTCAGAGGAGCAGCACAGCAGTGCCATTGGAAGTGGAAACGCCATTGTGGGAGGACTACCATTTCTCCGCTTGAGTAACCATGCCCACATGGAGGAAGGATACACCAGCACCCAAGCTCTTCACAACAGCAACAACAACAACAACTGTGGTAATAGTGCAGGTCCATATGGAGCAGAATTGCCCACCGAAGGGGAGCTAGAAATGGGCCCAGGCGACAGGCAGAGTGCTCCTCCCAACAGCAGCGGTTTGCACCCCCTACCCCTTGATGAAAGTTCGATCAAAATTAAAGATAATAAAATGGCACTGTGCGGAAACAGTAACAGTTGCACCGAATCTAATACCCCCAAAAAGGGTGTAGACGCAGCTTCACAGAAAAATACAAATGAGCAACAAGCGCCAAAGGGAAGTGCGCCGTCCAGCAACGCTAAGGGAAGTAGCGGAAAGGGGAAAGGGAATAAGAGTAAAGGCGCGGCCAAGGGGAACAAGAACAGCGGGAGCGCTAAGAATGACAAGACCTCCAAGTGATCGTGTGGCGTGTAACGTGTGATCATAGCACCGAAGGATCTGAACGAATTGTACCTCTCCACACGAGATTAGATGCGCAGAAGAGTTGATGTGAGATCGCGCTCGGACTGTTGACCGCTATATGTACATATGTATTTTGTGCACAAAAATGTTTACTTATTTTATTTTTATTTATTTCTTTTTTTTTTTTTTTCCAAAATATTACCTAACTAACTGTCAATTTTAATTCTTTTCTGCCTGAACAACACGTAAAGGAATCCCCACTGGGGTGATTTTTTTTTTTTGTGGAGGGTGTCACCTTTTATATATAATGGGCACCTACTTAGACCTTATATAACGCCCATTTAAGGGACCACCTCTCACCGCCCCCATAAGTGTTATGGCTAACATTATACTTTGTCAAAGGTTGAAAAAAAATTTTAAAATAAAAATTGCAATTAACATGATCACGATAAAAGATACGACGAGAAAACACATATACATGAAGTTATCACGGCGCTCCTGAGCCATGAGCATATATCTCACTGTTGGACTTTGTTCAAAGTTGTAAATGTGCTTCTCTTCCACTTCACTGGGCTTGTTTTGATTAGCCCCCGCGTGCATTAGTGTGTGCACCATGAAGGGTATGAACTCGAGTGACACGAACGAGTAGAGCCCCTTTTTGTTTTGTGTATTTCGTTCAGATGTGTCCTTCTTCGCTGCCTGGCTCGTGTTCTGATCAGCCACTTCAGGCTGCTTCGTTTGTTCAGGTTGCTTCTTCTGTTGAGGCTGCTTCGATTGATGGTGCCCACCCAGGGGTTCCATGCTATGTCTCCATTGGTCTGTCCATGCGTTCTTCCCGGCGCCCGTTCTGAGGGCTCTACTAACACATGCTACCAATTCCACATGGTTCACGTAGGCGAGGAGGATAAGAAGACAAAGGGAGGAAAAAAACGAGGCCACTTTTTTCATCTCTGTTCTCTTCGTGTTTGTATCTTCCCATGTGAGCGTGTTTGGGAGTTCATAACTGCTTCGTTAACACATGGCCTGACGTTCCGCGGTGCCGCCGTTTCGCCCCTCCGAGTGAACTAAAAAAAAAAAAAAAAAAAAAAAAGTGCATTCTGTACACACTATCGTCTTTGAAACGAGCGCAGAAATGTGTTGACATAGGTGAAGGCATATAACTGCTGGTATATCAGGTGATGCAACCGGTGAGACAACATTGGCATTTTTTTTTTTTTTCCTCTTCACCATGTCCCATAGTATGTGTACGCACTGCAGTCACCACGTTGACGCCCAATTCAACTCTTTGCACGCGGAACAGAACAATGGCGGTCGTCGTTTCGCCAAAACATATATTATAAATAGGACCTCAAAAGGAATTTGTCCAAATATGAAGAACAAAAATTTTGTGCCAAGTTACACAGGAGATGCAAGTAAAAAAAAAAAAAAAAAAAAAAAAGAAAGACACCCGTGCACTCAAGTGCTTTGGAAATTCTCCTCATTTTAATCCTCTTCCGTTTTTGTCATCATGTAGTAGCAACCATGTGATATTCTCCCCACCTCACATAGAGTATTTTTTTTGAACCATATATTTTTATTAATGCATAATTGTCATTTTTTATTTATACGCCTATTTAAAAGAAAAGACTTCTACCTCTAACACGAACCCCTGCCCATGTTGGTGACGTGGCTGTATTTGTTTTTCCGGGGGCAGGGGAGTTAATCCTCTGTGACTTTTTTTGTCCATCGTGCAATCAGTGCATGTGCCCCTCCACAACAAACTTTCTGAACCTGTTTTAGCGGTACTTAAAAAGAGCACAAGGAGCAATGGTTACCTCCCTTTTCCTTTTTTTTTTTTTTTGCACCTACCATATGTGGTAAGCATGTGAACAGATGACAAAATTACTTGTTCTTGTCACCTGGGAGGGGACTGCACTGTTTGTTTCTTCTACAGTTGTGGGGGTTGGCCCTAGGTGTGTACATGCACATGCGTATTTACATAACGTGGTGTACACGTATGCTTGGACAGTGACGCTCTTCCCACCTTTGCCTCAACAACTGGGGAGTGCATCCTCATAAGAAGCATTGTTTGAAGAGAATAGAAAAGAGGATTGAGAGAGCCTTCACCACACAGAGGAGTTACTTAACAAGTGTGAACATCCTACAACTACCCCATTCCTTCTTATGTACAAAAGGTGATATACACACACACTTGAGAGGGGGGGGTGTATTATAACCTTTAACTGAGAAAAGGACTACCTCGGTTCCAAAGCAGACTTGAAAAAAAAAAAAAAGGCACCTATTTGTTTGTACCCATTCTGTTTGTGTCACTGCCCTCCTTTTGTCATTTCCCTTTTTAAAAGGGCAGTGTGGGGTTCCCTTTTTTTTTTTTTTTGAAGGCAAATATATAATACGACTCATTTTTTCTACCTTTTTCTTGCCACGCTTGTGAAGCGCTTCCAAAGTGAAATATCCTTTCCCCTGCCGTTTTCCCATTTGAATTTTCTAAAAAAGTTTCTCCTTTTCGACCCGGGTGCACTTGTGCGCTGTTGTATGTTTATTGACATTCTACCCAGGGGAAAAGAAGCACGCACTGGACGGTGCCTTCCGCCGCAAGGTGGGCTGGGGGTGGGCTGCATTATTGTGTGATAACTTGGCGCACTTGGAGCAACGAACAAAAAAAGGGTAGCAAAAAAGGGTAGCAAAAAAAGGTAGCAAAAAAAAGGTAGTAAAAAAAAGGAAGCACAAAAAGGAAGCAGCAAAAGGCAAAACAAACGAACAGAGCAAGCGCAACGACACAAATCGGGGGGAAAATGCAGAGGCAACTTCACATCGCAGACGAAACTGTTAGTGTAACCCTTGAGGTGTTTAAAAATGTCACCAATGCAAAGCAGCTTCTACAAGTGTACAATGAAAAAACGCTGGCTGGAGACCCTGACATGCGGCGCTTCTTTCTCCTGTTAGATGGCCAAATGGTGAGTAAAACAAACACGCGCAGGGGCCAACCTCCTCCCTCCCCTACCACCAGCACCAGAGCATGTGTACCATGTGGTAGAGAGTAGCCCCACCAAAACAATTCCCTGTTATCGTAAACCACAATTCGCATAAACACATAAACCCTGAATACTGCTGTCCCCCTTTTGACTTAACGCCCATTTCAGATTTTCAGTGACAACCACATATTGCACAGCCTCTACAGAGCGTATCACAACGTCTTAACAAAAAAAAAGGTCACCAGAAATATCGTCCTGGAGGTTTTCTTCTTCCTATCTGCTCACGAAAATGTAAGTTTTGGGTGACGCCCCGCCCTACCCCCATCCATCACGCCGTCATTTTTACACTTGTCCCATTTACCGCCTCCCCCCCCAGATCAACGAATGTCTCAAGCAGTACCAAATGCAGGAGTCCTCCTCTTCCGTCATTTACGTCGGCGTGAATATTCCTGATGATGAGGTGGGTTTTTCTACAGTACGCAGTTGATGGCGCGTCACACATTGTCGTATCGCACACAGAGTCGCCTTGCACACAGAGTCGCCTTGCACACATTATCGCATCGCACATTGTCACATTGCCCCCCACGCAGGTGCTCGCCTTCACGGACCTGATATGCGGCCAGCGGACCGGTGTGGACGACATCCGCTTGCTGCGTGACGAGAAACAAATTATGCACAACTTCAAGTGCACAGGGGAAGTAGCAAATCTGGAGCGCTTCATCTATCACACCATCGCCTCGAAGAAGCTTAACTTAGGGTGAAACAAGGCGCGTCGTGAGGGAAGCGCATGTTGTTTATGAGGCAAGAAAGGCACCGCCTTTTTACATACATGTAACATTCTTTTTACTCGCCTTTTAACTTGGCGTTGTGAGGAGTTTTGTAGGGACATGTTCATTTTTTTTTTTTTTTTTTTTTTTTTTTTTGTCCTCTTCTCTTCTCTGTACCCTGTCGCGAAATTATCATAAATGGGAGAACGTTGCAAAGTGCAACAGGAGAAGTGGGTGGCATTCGCAAAGAGGTGAAAAGGGGGGAAAAAATATATATAAAAAAAAAAGGTAAATAAATGGAACACATGGGAGCGGGGCTTTTGTCTCAGCAACCCTGCAAAGTTACACACGTATTGATAAAAAAAATTATTTAAAAGGAGAATATGTAAGTGCTCACTCCGCGGAGGGCACATATATACATATATATAAATGTTGATGAGGCAAGGGGTAAAGTCAGCTTCTCGCGTCTTTATAATGTACTGGCGCACATCTGATGCAGACGACAGTGCTCTGACGCGCATGTACACGGGGGGGAAATCATACGACAGCCGCTGCTCAGATCATGTAGGGAAGGTCCAAGTGATCGTCCACAGGGAGACCACAAATAATTCGCACATAGTTGCAGAGACTCTCCAACTGCGAAAAGAATGAGTGTCTCGTTTTGTACACACTTGAATTGAAAGGAGATTTACAGAACAGACTAGACAGGAAGAGAACACACTCCATGTTTTTAAACTCAGGGTACTTGGGTTTTACGATGGTATGAGTCAATTGATAATCTCCACCCACGCTGATTGGGTTCTTTATGTTGGACTGAGCAGGGGGAACAATGCTCGAGGCACCTAGCGATGCACCCTTAAAGTAAACCCTCTGAGATAGCTCCACCAAGAGAATTAAATCAATTAAAATGGGAGAAGCCAAAAGAGAATCCTGGCACACATTGTATAATGAAATTGTATTTTTTCCGTTCATAAATATTTCACTAATGTACTCATCAATAGCCTTCTTATCATCTCCTACGTAGGGCACATACTTGATAACAATTTCGCTATTCACTTTCTGGTTTTCAATTGCATCTACATATGCATAATCTGCTTCCAAATCTGTGACGTCCGTGGTGGTGGACAGCAGGCTGTCTCCCTTGCAGTAGTCTGTACTCTGCTTGGTGAAGTTAGGAGACATGGCTGCCTCCTCTTCTTCATCAGCGTACATGTGCTCGTTGGCCTTTACGTAATCGCATATGAGGTTGCTCTTGGAAATTTTCTTGCTGTAGAATTGGAGGTCCGAGGAAAGGTTCTTCCCGTCGTTGTTTCCCAGGTGGTTGTACGAGACGATGCTCTTGGGCTTCAGGCCTGCGGTGCGAACGTGCGGCGTGTACGTGTACGTATGTATGTGTGCGGGGAAGAAGCAAACAGCGCGCAACGGCGCCACTTGGCTGCTCCGCGTCGCCTTACCCGTGCCAAAGTAAAAGTCCAGGAGGAAGTTCTTGATCTTCGTTTGGCCCGTCTTCAAGTCATTGCCGACGATGAAAATGCCTTTCTCCTGAGCTAGCTGTACTACACCATTCACCAAAGTATTCTGGGGGCTGCTGTTGATGAAGGGGCAATTCTCCAGGACAGACGCCAAGGCATAAACAATGCTTGGAGAAACGGAAGGGTGATTATTTTTACAAGCCAAAAGAATATTTTCATATGTATCATTCACCCCTGGAATGTGTGCAATATTCTTTTCCGTGTTTCCAGACCACAGGACAATTACTTCGTCTAAATTGTTTGTCTTTTTAAAGCAGCCAATTTGTTTTCTCACTTGTTCCAAAACCTCTAGCTTATTTTTTCCCACAAGAATATTATTTACTCTCTTCTGTTGATTAGCTGCAATGAAATTTCCTTTAAAGTAAACACTTTTAAGCGGAACGTAATTCATATCGTCTTTTATTTTTTCCACCAAGTCCTGCTCAAATACTTTGTTTCTCACGAGACAATCTTTTAAGTTTAGGTTATTCAGATCCCATCCTCCAAAGGTGATATTTTCAGGATTGTACACCTCGATTAGCTTATGTATAGGGCAGTAGGAATGCTCTAAATTCTTTGCGTCATAACCGAGCCTCACATTTGAGGAAAGAAAAACGCTACCCAAATAATTCGCCTTCTTCACATCGTACTTATTTGTGTACATGAGCTTTTTCGCATTTGCACAAATTCCTCCTAACAACGTTGTGGCGTTATTTCCTCCAATGCCTATTAAAAGTACTCCTAATTTTTTGTCCTTCATTTTTTCTACCTTGATTTCGTAACTGGTGCTTATTTTCTTGCAGGAGAAAGTGACCTGCCCTCCCGACGCACCACCTTTTCCACCACTACCTGTACTTGCCTCCTTCTGCACTTGTGTTTCCACATGCTGGTACGTCGAGTACACAAAATTTTCATCTTCCTTCCTTTCAAATTTCACCTCAATTCCGTCCTCCTTGCCGTAGGCGCTGCTTCCTGTTGGAGCCTTCGCCGCGAATTTCAGTCCCCCGTAGTTTTCCATTCCGGGGGGTGGCTAATCAAGTGGTGAAAGGTAGAGAGAAGGTGTGTGTGGGTTGGGTGGTTTTCCCCTGTCACGTGATTCGCTTCCGTTACGTGGTTTTTTCCACTTCACTTTTGTTGCTCCTCTTGTGCACACTTTTACTGTGCCGACTCTTCACTTTCCTCCTGCGGTGGAAAACAAGGACGGGAACACTCAAAACAATGTGTTGAAGCGGGATACACGTGGGTGTCACTCACGTGCAAACCAATTGCTGCTTCGTGGCGACGCAACACAAATGCACATCTTTAAACAACTGCAACGAGGTTAAAAAGTTAAAAGTTGAAATGGGAGCCTATCCTTAGACACAATTTCCTCACAGTTGCACGATGCAATTTTTTGCTCACAATATTTCGGGGTGCGAATTATTTTTTTAAAGCGGCATACACATTTGCCCAATAAGTGCGGTGAAATGTATCCCCCCCCTTTGTAAAGCTGCGTTTGGGGGTACCCCACACAGGTTACAAGTACATCCCCCCTTTTTTAAATACCCTACTTGGTAGGTTCTTTTATTACCCCCTGGGGGGAAACCGCATCAGTGGCAATCCGATTGGTCGGTGTCTCTACTCATGTGCACAACTCCGTACCAATCGTTTTATTCATTTTGTTCATTTTTTTTTTTTTACTTACTTTTGTATATGCACGTGATGTGTTTGGAAGTGTCGCCTTTGGTGGGGGATGGGCGACTCCTCTTTCTCCACAGCGTATCAATGAGTGTACGATTCAGGCAGCGCGTTATGTACGTTTGTGCTAAACTACGTAATGATACTGGTGTTACGTGGACGTCGAGAATGAAGCTCCCTTTTTTTCGTCCTTGTAAATATGTGTATTTTTTCTCCCTTCCTCCTCTGTGTTCATTTAAAAAAAAAAATAAATGGCTTTTTTTTAACACCTTTTATAACACCTTTTTTTAACTTGGCTTGGCTTCGTTCACTTTGCCAGTTGCCACGTTACAAAGGCGATATGACGACAGAGCGTGTTTGAAAAAAGCTAATGTTGACAAATGCATTCATAAATTTGTTTAACAAATGCGTTCATAAATGTATGCTTCACAAATGCGTTCATAAATCTGTTAACAATTGTAATCACCTTGGCGTTTACGAATATATTGCACTTTTTTTTTTTTTCTTGTTTGTGTTTTCTGCCATTGTTTACACTCCTCCGCTATCGACCAGTGGTACCATTTTTTTCTCAGCGAGGGATGCGCTGTGCCCGTATCGCATTTATGCACATCACTACGCATGTGGAGAGGTACGTCAGATGACACGTCGGTATGTATATCACATTATACGTCGGTATGTATATCACATTATACGTCGGTATGTATATCACATTATACGTCGGTATGTATATCACATTATACGTCGGTATGTA